GCTTGATTGGTTCATTTTTTCCATCCTTGCTAGTAAAAGGTGAAGACCATGGGAAAGTTCCATCCACGTTGCCTAAGAGATGATATCTCGCTAAAAGAGACATAAATTGAACTTGCCATGATGAGTAATTTAAAAGCATAAGTTTGAGAGGTAACTAGGCAACAAAGTTAATAGCAAATAGATTTATGCGATTATATCACATGAAAATGAATAAATGCTTAAATCATTACCAGCCATAATGGAGGTGTTATTGGACTCAATATTGGATTTATTGACAACCATAAATTATTTTACTCATAAGACATTATCACTACTTTGATACCATCAAAAGGCAAGAATAAAGAAAAAAGGTACTTGACAATTTACTCAACATAATAGCTACAAATTTATACAAAGTATAAGATAAGTTTCTAGCTTAAGAAAATACAAGATACAAGAGATAAATTCAGCACATTATTTGATGCTTGACTTAGGAGAGAAGTTGGACTTGGCTTTTATATTTTTATCAAGAGGCATGGCTTCTCTGTTCTTATCATGAGGTTGTTCTGAGACATTATCCTTATCTTGACCCATTACTTTCATATATCTTAGTTGATAAAAAAATTAACAGTGTCAACTTTTTCATTCAAATAAAAGCTTAATTGAATGCAACTAGGTATTGCATGAGTGATTTATTGTAATAAAAACAAACTTAAATGATTTTTTAATTATAGTTCAAGAACTTTCTTTTTTAAACCCTTCAGCCTAAAAAGTTCAATTCAAGAGAAATTTTTCATATGTGTACATGAAAGCAATGCCAACTGAAAATGGTAAACGGTGGATGGAACCATGGTTGCTTGAAGAAAACCACCATGATCATGCTTAATTAGCCAACAACATTATTTGTCTATCTAAGAAGTTTAGTTAAGATTATATATATAAGAGGTCACAATTTCGTAATTGGAAAAAGGGTATAAGTGCTAGGATTCGACTTTCAAATCTATTAGAGACTACCTTTTAAAACTGTTTATATGAAACATTTTTAAGTTTCAAGTTCAAGTTTAATTAAGATTTATGATAACTTTTATCATTATCTAGGTAGATAATTTCCTTGGCACATTACTTGAGGAATAATTATCTTGAAAAATAAGTTAACTCTATAAAAGACCGATTCTTATCGATTTTTGAAGTGTATTTTTTTTATATATGTAAAAAAGACAACTTAAAAATATAAGATAGGATACATGTGTTGAAATTTAAAATTTAAATTTATTAGATATTTTTTAAAATATATATATATTGATAAATTTAACTAAACTAATAGTTTTTTTAAGTGTAAATTGAATCTAATGAAAATTCTTAAAGATTGAATTTCTTTAAAAACTCTTTTCACTCTTTTTACTTTCAATCTAGCACAAATTATAATCAAGCACATAAAAGATGACATTCTAGAAATAAGCTATCCCATCGCATCTAGGGGCAATTATTGTTTGATTTGGTTTGGTTTGGCCTCAAGGAGACACCCTAAAACCAAACCGAAATTATTTGTTTTGGTTTCTTATTGGATTTTGGATTTTACTAGAGAGTAAAAAATTCACAATTTTAATATTTAAATCTATTAAAATTTAAAAGAGTCCATAATTCAAGACAAATACAAACAATTAAATTAAAATACAAAACGATAGTCTAAATTAATATGCTACTAACAATCAGATTTGTAGTATGATAAATATAAATTTATCTGTATGAAACATTTAAAAAAACAAAGCATTAAGTATTTAATTGGATATGATTCGGATAATAATTTAAATCTAAATGAATTCAAATATTATAAAAATTAGATGGACTCAAATACAAAAATTTTAAAAATAAGATATATTCATTCCATTACTATCCTAATTGATCATCTAAAAATTAAACAAAAAATTTTATCATTTTTAATCACTTGAATCATTCTAATGACATATTTTGTGAAATCAAAATTAATTCAAAAATAAAAAATTTGCCTCGTAAATTTGAAGAAAAAATTAAACTAATTTCTTCTAGGATGAAGGTGTCTAAGAGAGAAAACGTGGAAAATCGGTTACTTGTGGAATCAGCATGCGATTAATTTAACAGATAAAATAGAAGCCATAGCATTTATTATTAACCATAGTACGAAGCCGAATCTGAAGTTGGAATGCTTGCTGGTATAATATTTGTGATATATGACTAGGAAAGTCGTGGAATTTATTGATAAAAGAAATGCATCTGGAGAGCTTTTCCTTTCCTATTCCTTTTTCTTTAAGACTGACGAGTATTTTAATTTTAGATGCAAATGACAATTTTACTGAAATTTATTGAAAAATTTCGAAGGAAAATGGATATATATTAAATTGTGGAGCCGGAACTAAAACGTATATAACTTTGTTTATTATATATTAAACAGGTAGGCTAATAGCTTATTCCGAATTATCTGAAATTGAAATTGTTTATCTAAAATTAAAACTGCACATCAAATATTAATTTTATTATCTGATATTTATCCATATTTATCTATAATTATCCAAAACTGCATGATGGAGTACCATTAATCATGTAAGGTATATTAATATAAATTCACCCGTTATCATCCTTCGTTTTTGTTATGTATGATCATAATAATGATGTTGAATATCAATATGCTGAAACCTGTCCATAAGTTACCCTACGTCCCTAATTTTTTTGTTTCATTTACTTATTAGTCTCCATTTAATTATCAAAACGAATGATAACGGCATGTAAGCCAATGATATTGATCAATCAAAAATATCTTCATATACTACAATTTTGATAGGAATGATGATGATAAAGATTCATGTACATTTGTTTGATTTAGTATAGAGAACAAAATGTGGTGTCATTCTCAATCAACAGTCACGTTTCCACCTCACCGACCAACATTTCCATGTGCAATACGCGGATTGCCGTGGCCTTTTTCCACTACCTAATCGTCACCCTCCCTTTGCCTAATCCTTTAATCTCAGCCGTTCAAATTTTAAAGTATTCTTTTTTTATTTTAATTTTTTGGTGATTAGGTTGTCCCCTTCGTATGAGGTCAATAATACTCACGTGAATGGGACCCAATCCTTTTTTTTTTTAATAGGCCCATATAATTTTAATTAAAAATAAATTAACCACTAATTTTGACTTTAATTTCCCCTTACATTTATTTCTTCTTATATTTTCTTTTTTTTCTTCGTTGGATTTTTTTTCTTATTTTTTCACTCCTAAGATTTTAGGAATGTAACTGCTTTGATCCATTAAAATATGTTATATTTTCATACTGGAATGATTAAAATATATTTAAAAAAAGCTTTTTTTTTTCAAAAAGAAAAATATGAGTCATTTTTTTGGTCAAATATATTTTAGGTCTTTGTATAGTATAAAATATTTTAATTGATTAAAGATAGTTTATTCATTCATTTGTTACTATTTTTTTTATTAATTTTTTAAATAAAAACTAAAGGCTAATAAAATTTGATAGAACATTATCAGAGTCACGACTAATAGTTAAAAAACAAGTGGAGCATTCTTATATTTTTTTTTTTATGAAATTATAAATGTAACACTGCATTTATCATAATTGATATGACTTTTATTATTTATTCATTTTAATTGTTATTTTACTTTTTAATATTATATTTTATTGAAACAATTAAAAGGAAATGACGAAAACAACAATAAAACGATTCTTAAACTTATCTTATCTTCTTGTTGAACCTTTCTTTTGGGGTACAATCTTATCGTCAAGCATTGTTAACTTTGAAAGGAATTTTATTTTGGCATGCTTTCTCGAAGAGATCATTCTTAAAAAAATTACATAACTATGTAAAAATTTACTCCATCACTTTCATGCTTTATATTGGTTCTGTTTTCTTTTTCTTTCTTGAGCTATAGCAATTCTTTTTAATCAAGAAGGAATACATTTGAATATATTATCCAAATTATTAACTCTATCTATAAATCTTTTATATTAAAATTCAAATGATTTTAAGGATTAATATTAGTTTTTAACAAATGCAGTTTTTGAATGAATATAGCTTGTTTTGAAATATTTATAGCAATCTTTTTATATAAGCCTTTTTATTTATTTTTATCAAATTTGAACTTATTAAATTTGTTTGCAAAAAAATGTCCTAAAAGAGTTTTTTGAATAAAATAATATATTTGATATACGATTGATCTTTGTTCATCTTTTTTTTTTTTTAAATGTCCTAAAATTATGTCATCTTTTATTTTTTGAATATCTAAATTTTTTTTATAATTTTAAATTATCTTTTATGATTTTTTTAATTTTTTACATTAAAAATCTTGAAATTTTAATTTTATAAAAATTTAAAATGTTAATATTAAAAACATTCAAGTTAATTTTTTAAAAAAATTTTAAAAAAATTAATAACATTCAAATGATTTGGGACGGAAAAGATACTTATTTTATTTTATAATTCTTCAAAAGTACTAGTTTCGAATATAAAAAAATAATAGTTTGGATTTTGTATCCAAAATGCATTTCTTATGTTTTTCAAAGTATAAAGTAAGAAAATAAAAATTAAACAAAGAATTTATATTTGATGTATTTAAGTATATAAATCTTATATATTATTATTGCATCATAAAATTATCATATTTAAAAATTTAAAAATTTTAAATTATTAAAAATAAATATTTTATTTTAAATATTTAATTATATAAAAAATTAAAATAAATTCATACAATAATAATTTTTGATGCACCGATATTATATAATATTTAATATTTAAAGGTGCATGAAATATAAATTGATAAAAAAAATTAAAATAGACTCTATCATGTTTTAACTAGAGATAAATTTCATGGCAGACATGGTAAATGCGGTAAAAATGTATGAAGAAGGAAGTCAAAGTCAACAAAAGGCTAACGCGGTTACAGGTCTACCAAGAGCCGACAAGGATTGTTGACCCACCCGCCCCTGCAAGCCATACACTATTACTTCCATCCAAGTTCTTGCTTCGGATACACCGAACCTTATCCTTCCTTACCCGAACTAACAGATTCGGTCCACCCGCCCTACATATATAAGGGGTCCATCTTCTTTTCTCCTTGCTCCAAAGCTTTCACAAAATCAACAGAAAATTGGAAGAATTTTCGATTACGCTGCTTAAAGGTAATTATTAAATTGAATCTCTCGATATTTCATCTGTTTTTCACTGCTTTTTTTTTTTGTTTGATCTGTTGCTTGGCTGGTAAGAAAGTGAAAGAAAAGATCGAAGAAAAGGAGTGGAAATGGAATTGAATTTATTGATTGATAAAAAAAAAAATTAAATATGAATGAAGTAAGCATACAGATATGAGTAGTGAGTTCTTCTTGTCATCCCATTTTCTCGGTAAACAAACGGAAACGTGTTCTTAAGATCTTTCAGCTGATGTGATTCTGTTATTACAGTGTCATTTATTATCATGATTAGATAGAGTAATAATTGAGGTTATGATTGTTTTAATTTTACATGTTAATAAAGAAAGGATTGATGGAGTCTTTTTCTTTTTTGATATATTTTCAAAAGTGATCTGATCGCTGAACTCTATAAATGTTTTTCAAAGTTTGGGAAGCTTTTAGACTGGAATGACTATCTGCTGATTTGTTATGAGAATTGGGAAAAACAGTTTTAGGAGATAGGGGCTCTACTACATAGATTGACTTAGGATGCTGAGAATAATTGATACTTAGATGATTATGCAGTCTTCATATGAAAAGATACTGATATGAAGGAAAGTGTTCAGTTGCTTTTTTTGTTTATGATTATGATTTGATTTCCTATATTTTTGGATTCTTTTCACTTTCATTTTAACAGATTTGTAATTTTTTTGGTTCCAACTGCTCATGAATGGAGCAAATCCTTTGAAGTTACTCATTGAAATGAGTTGAAGTCAGGGGGAGGAGGGATGTCTTCATTTGGACTATTCAAGTTTGGTATTAGGAGTGTATAGATCTTGAATTGTTTTAATCATAGGAAATCTTGACTTCTCACGAACTTACTTTTCTTTCCTTTTTAATCTTCTCTTCATTTGTTGGTTTTGTTAAATTGTTGTATATTTGCAATGTAGAATTTAAGGGATAAGTAAACACAATTGGTAGAATGGCTCTAGTTGCGGGAGGAAGGTCAACATTGAACCCCAATGCCCCTCTGTTTATTCCTGCTGCATATCGCCAAGTGGAGGATTTCTCTCCAGAATGGTGGCAACTGATTACAACTTCAACATGGTTTCGGGAGTATTGGATCAGCCAGCACCAGGATGAGGATGGTTTCTATGACAATGCTGAGGATGATGGCTTTGATAGCCAAGACATTGTTGATTTGCTGCCAGATACCTTTGACCTCGGTGCTGATGAAGATCTCTCTGGTATGGATCTTCAGTTTGAAGAGCTCATCCAGTCTTATGAAATGGAAAGCACATCACCTCCTTTACCATCAAACGGTACAAATAAGTTTTGTCTATTATCTTTAAAGTGTTAAAATGCTTACGAGTCTGGAAATAGAGAATTTATTTCTAGGAATGTTGGTAGAATTTCTTCAAGATAAAAGAAAAATGTTAGCAGATCATTGAACTTATATTTTGTCATTTGGCTGATTAAAATAGGCTTTCAAAGGGATGCTGAAACCCTGATGAAGAATCTGAGTTTGTTGCAATCAAGTCCAAGGTCTTCAGCAGAACCAGCAAAATATGCTGAGAAGCCAGCCAAGAATGTGCAACCTAAAAGCAGCCCACGTTGCATTCAGCAGCCCCGCTGAAAGAGTCTCAATTAGCCATACAGGTTATGATCTGTCAAGTTCATCGGTAGTGTATTTTCCAGTTAGTGTAACTATAACATCTGTAAAGACCAAGGATATTTAACTCTTGTATCAATCCTTGTTCATCTCATGTCTTTGTTTCTCGTTAACAAAAAATGAAAAAACAAAAGAGGAAAAAATAATTGTAAAATTTTAGAAAAAGAAAAAAAAGAGAATTATCTATCACCATCTCAATGAATCTTTAGATCTATTGTGCAATCTATGCCCATGTAAATGGAATGGAAGCAGTAATTGACTGTCTTATTTCAATGATATTGCTCTAGTAGATAGGACGAAGTGATTGAACAAGAAGTGCCAACCAGCCATTGGTTTGATGTTCAAAATTTCAAACTCCATTTTCTGGAAATCTGTTGTTGCATAATACTGGTACTTTGGATTGTTAACAACTGCGCAATGTGGAACGCATTCAGCAACTGAAATCTGAAATGCGTTTTGGCATCCATTTCCATGTCCATTAATAGCACACACAATGCTACTCACTTAGCTTGGAGGAAATAATTCCGAAAATGTTACCTTTCTCGAGAGTAACTTACTAGTAGAACGCAGGTGGATTCAAGTTAATTAGCTGTTTGATTCTGGAATGTAGAATTCAGATTAGCAGGCACTCAAAATGACTTTGCTTGGAAGATACACAAGAATAGAAAAGCGCTAACGACGGTTCCAGTGCTAGTTCTCCTATATGGGTTCACAATATAGAGATGGTAATGGATAGTATCCAGATATTCATATTACCAAATTCAATGTCCATATCCTATTTGAAATCATTTAGTAATATGAGATTTTTAACACGTTTATTTAGTTTAAAGTTGTATAGGTGCCATTACAAAAACCTCTAAAATTCAATAATAAAAAATTAATTTTAATTATTTTTTTATATTTTACTAATCAAAATTAAATTAATAAATTTAAAAATATAATTTATGTTTAGAATCAATCATAAATAATATAGATATTAAACAATTAATTATTTATAATCAGATTTGGATAGTGGATACCCTAAGTTTATTAATAGTAACTAACCCTTTAATCCGTTTATATGACACCCTAGTCATACTTAAATGGATTGTGTAGTGTTGGATACCCATTTATATCCTATCCATCGCATATAGAGTTCTTTTCTTTCTTTTTGGAATGAAAAAAAGAGATATGATTCAATATATGTAAGTTAAAAGCAATAATATAAAAGAAAATTTAATTAAAATATATGCATAATTAGCTTGTGATCCATGCTATGCATGAATTATTTTATTTATTTAAATATGTGTTAACATTGTAAGATTTGTATTTTCCCTACAATTATATCTAAGTTTTAAAATTTTATGACATATATAAAATATAAATATATATTAACTTAACATATCATAAGAAAATTAAACTTTACCATTATTGTCTTGATCAAAATGCTAAAAACAAATGTTAAAAAATAGGAGATATTAGATATAGATCAAAAAGTTAAAAAAAATTAAATATAAATATAATATTGGTTGTTTAGAAGAACTTAAAATATAATATTGAATGATCAATTAAATAATAAAAGAAGTATTGACATATCTTTACTAAATTATTATTTTGATCAAAATATTAAAAAAATTAATTAAGAAATGTGTGAAAAATTAAAAAAAAAAATAAAAATAATGTAGGAAAAATCATTTAAGTAAAATAAACAATAAAATCATAAAAGAAATATAAATCTTAAAGTAGTGTTTGGTATGGAGTGATCATTAAAAAAAACCTATAGTAATTTATAAATGATGATTAGATCACCTTGTTTAGTAACCACTTAGTGATTTTATGTGGCAGTGATCTTGAATCACTAAGAGCAATTAAATCACTATCGTGAAATATGATCTAACTCTCATTTAAAGAGGTGAAAAACTTTTATCATGGAAGTGAATTAATATATAAAATTAACAATAATTTATATTATCTATTTAATATGTGAATTAAAAAGCTTACTTCTTAAAATTAATTATAATTATTTTATAATTTTTATAATTTCAAACTAATATTTATTAAAACAAGTTTAAAAATAATTTGTGTGATTTCTTTTATTTTTTAATTTATATGTATATAATATTTTGATTTTAATAGATTAGTTTTATTTTAATTCATCTTTTTTACATAATATATACTATAAAAACTAGTTAACTGATCGATAAATATATTCTTTAATTTAATAATTTAATTATATTTTATTATAAAATAAATAAATTTTTACTAATACTTTATAAATTATTATCTTTAAATAATATTGAAATTATTAACTTGTATAGCTATTATAATACGTTTAGTTATTTTGGTACTTTCAAACAAAATAATGTTTGATTTTTAGTAATATCAAACACAATGTTCTTTAATTATTAAGAATTAATTATTTTTAAGCAAACAAAATGATTTCATATCATAATTGATAAGATCATTTTCAGTGATTAAATTACCATGGTGATTTTTAAATTTATAGAAAATGTTACCTAAAGGAAAATTGAATATTGAAAAAATGACATAGTACATATTATTAATATGCTTAAAGTGACATGTGTTTTTTTAATTTAAAAAGAAATTAATAATAAGGTATTTGAAAATTAAAAAAAAATAGAAGAGATACGTGTGATTTTAAATTTAGAGAGAATATTTTTAGTTTTTAATTTTTTTTGCATATTTATAGTAAAAAATATTATTAATTTAATTTGTTTTTAAATTTAGCATTATTTTAATAAAAAATTACTTCCTTGGTTAGTAAATGTTTTGTCATATATTATTATCTTTTTGTTTACATGATGTCGATCTAACCCACACCAAAGTTTCAATTCAACATCTAGACAAATAACATTTTTGCACTTATTTTATTCTTAATTATTTTATTAAGAAATTTTATAGATAATCACCATTGTTCTATACACATATAGGACATATGAAACATTGAAAAAAATATTATTATAATGCAAATAAAAAATAATTATTAGTATTATATGTTGTTATGGACCTATATATGTTCTTATTTAACTTATTAAAAAATCTTTTTATAACAGTTTACTTAATTTTACACACTAAAAAATAATTTAAAATGAAAGTTGGTTATATATTTACTATACATGACAAAATTATAACAATGCACATCTTTCATGCATACATTTAGTTTTACTGAGTGAAAAATATCGAAAACATATATTACAAATCTAATAATAAGAACACAATATGTAAATATATCCACACTTTACATAATAATAATAATAATAATAATAATAATAAATAAATAAATAAATAAAGTATAATTTAAAATTGTTTTACCACGTATTTACATAGTTTGAATGCAAGATAAAAAAATATGTACATGTTTTATAAAAAAATGTTAGGTTAATTTTAAATGAGATTTTAATTTTTATTTTTTCATTGGAATGATCCCAATAACCTTATCACATTTAAATGAGGATAAAAATTGTTAGTCTTGAATTCATACTTATTTTGAAATGACAAAATATTAAGGTTAAATTTTTTTAATTTAGTATTTGCTTCTAAATTGATAATTATATTTGCACTAAGTAAATAATAATATTTTGTTTACAAAATTGGGTTAAAACACTTTAAATTCATAAAGAGAAATTTTATAAGTAGATTTTTGAATAAAAAATGATTTGAGACCAAAACAAACCTTTTTCTTCATTAACGCTAAGTTGTATACAAAATTACGAAAATGGATTGATCCTTTTTTAGAACAAAATCAATCCTTCCTGAACCGAAAGCAAAACTTTTGTTTAAAATCCAGAAGCAATTGATCCATTTAAAAGACGATCGATTCATTTTTTTTTTTACAAAAATATCCCAAATTTAAAATTAGTAAAAATGGATTAATCCATTATGAGAGTGTATCGATCAATTTTTATTACAAAAAGATCTCAAACTTAAAATTGACAATAATGGATCGATCCATATGAAAATGGGTCGACCCATTAATAAAATAGATCAATTGATTATTTTTCCAAAAACTTGATTTGGCTCAAAAGGCCAAAACCAATCTATCATCTCTAAAAATGCATTGATCGGTTCAGCCCTGATAATTTCAAATTGCCATTTTTTTCTTTTTTCAAGGGCATTAAATGCATTAAATGAATGCAACGGCTCTTTTCTCATTTCTATTTATATAAAGAGGTCTCCTACCATATTATGAATGATTAATAGCTAAAAGAATTTATTGCTATCCCTTTTTCATCTTCTTTAAGCATTCAATGAGCAATTAATGTGTTTAAGAGCATAAGTTCCTATCTTGTATTTAAATCTTTCTATTATTATTCATTCTTTCTATTTGTACTTTAAAATAGCAAACACCTAACCTTAGAGAGATTATTTTTAAGTTTGCAAAACACTTGTATCTAGCCTTGAGATTGTAAGCTTAAGGCAGAGTATAACCTTTGAGTGGCTCTTTAAGAAACTTAGGAAAACCTTTGCAAGGTTCATAAATTGATTGTATTAATAGCTTTGGAAAGGTTGGTTGTAACATTCAACATATAGGGAATTGAGCTCGTTGGAAAGTGAAGGTAAGGAAAATGATGTAGATACCTTGTTGAAGGATCGAACCTTTATGATTCTCGATGTTTGATTCTTTATCCCTACTCTTTTATCTTTCCAAGTTATATATTTGTGCATATATATTGTCTTTATTTGCTTAGAAATCTATATTTGATATTGTTGTTAGATTTGGTAATCAAATTGTCAAAATTTTGAATTAACCAATTCATCATTATCTTAGTTTATTTAATACTTTAAGTTAACAATTGATATTAAAGCTAGTACTTTATTTTGCAAATCTAACAACCTAAGAATAATTCAAATTGCTCAAAGCAATGTTGTGCTAAGTGGTGAGAAGGAACACAAGGCTTATAAGTTTATGAAGTATGATTTTTGGCAATGAAAGAAGAGAATAAGTGTGTTCATCATAGCTCAAAGTCTTAGAGTATGGAATGTAGTGGGAAAGTCTTAAAGCATTCTCAAATCAAAATTCTTGAAGAAATTAGAAGATAATGCAATAGCAAAGAATTTTCTTTATAAAGCCCTTGATTCCCACAACATAAAATTGATCTCAAATTGTTTAACCTCTAAGAAGATATATGAAAAATTGGAAAAAGTATATGAAGATGGAGAAACACCTTATGAAAAAAAACCATCAACTAGCCTTAAGCAAAATGAAGGCACAAATGGAAATCAACAAGAAGTATACTCATGACAATTGAAATGGTTGCCACATCCCTTACTAG